GTTGATTCGGATCGTACTTATATCCGCCGACCATGGTTTGAGACGCTTGATAACTTGCCAAATTCTAATCGCTATAAGAACTTTTTTTTGAAGTCGCTTTGAAAAAAGTAACTCTCTTTGTTAGGGACATAGTTGCTATATGTTTCGTCAGTTTTCGATAATCTCTGTAGATGATAGAAAGTATCTAACTAATTCAGATGCAAATTGACACAGGTTAATATTATCATTAGTATATAGCATATACCCACACATACTTCAAAGTATATAAATTAATTGTATAAAGAATGTGCGGAAACCCACTAAAGCAAATTACCAAAAGTTAACTAAATGAGGGACATACAGAAACAAGGTAAAGTGTATAACGACAAACTATTTAATTTAGGTATGTATAGAAATAAAATACGCTGTACACACATGAATGCTACCTTGGTGCAGAAATCATTTGTTTGAAGAAGATCAGGCATATCATGCGGAATATAATATTTGTAGCAGTCAAATTACTTATTTTCAATTTCTGCACGGATCAACTTGATATCACGCTGTCGAGACTCCGGCGTAGCGTCTATGAAGGTTAATTTCCAGAGTTTGAGAACATCACGAACCAACAAATTTTCCTCAAAAGAAAATTCAGCCATAGAGATCCCTTCATCGTGTAAGTAAGTAACAAATCTAACCATTGCTTTTATATGCTTCCGATAGATTGGCACATATACATAGCTAAATGGACTAAATAATTATAAACATGGTAGGTGGTATCCTCGTGCACGATGCCCACACAATGTCTTACACGACATTTATCATCCAAGCAGGTCTTGGTCTCGTCACATACTCACATTACAATCCGTAGTATGTGACGAGACTAAGACCTGTTTGGATGATAAATGTCATGTAGGACATTGTGTGGACATCGTGCACGAGGATACCACCGACCAAGTCTATAAACATTACAATTCGAAATTATTTAGTCCATTTAGCTATATATACGTGCCGCAAATCTACCGAAAGCATATAAAAGTAATGGTTAGATTTGTTACTTACTTACATGGTCAAGGGATCTCTACGGCTGAATTTTCTTTCGAGGAAAATTTGTTGGTCCGTGATGATATTCTCAAACTTTGGAAGTTAACTTTCATAGATGCTACGTCGGAATGTCGACAATTATTATATTCCGTATGATATGTCTGTTCTTCAATAGATGATTTCTACACCAGCATGGATGTGTGCTTACAACGTAATTAGTTTATTTCTATACATACCTATATTTTGTCGTTATAAGCATTAACTTGTGTTTTTGTATGTATTCATTTAGTTAGTTTTTGACAATTTGGTTTATTCTGTTTCTGCACATTCCTTGTACAATTAATTTGAAGTATGTGTGGGTATATGCTATATACTGATTATAGATATTAAACTGTGCCAATTTGCATCTGAATTAGTTACATACTTTCTATCCTCTGTACTACAGAGATTGTCGAAAACTGACGAAACATATAACTATGTCCTCGACAAAGAGAGTTGTTTTTCTTAAAGCGGCTTCAAAAAAGAGTTCTTATTTTAGCGGTAAGAATTTGGCAAGTTATCAAGCGTCTCAAACCATGGCCGGCGGATACAATCTGAATCAACATTATCAATACAATCCGAATCTAAATTGGTATACATCTAAGTTTTCGGATGTTAGCCAATGTTTTGCATCGATGTGGGGCTAAAAAGTTACGCCTTAAATGATGAGGGATTGCTGAAATGTTGCCGCGATCTAGCAACACACGTGAGCAAGTTTTT